GGGGGGGGGGGGGTCTCCCATCACGGCTACAAAGGGGTCATGCACGTCCATACAAAGACACACATCCAGGAAAGAGGCAGGGTGCTGGCCTGAGAGCGGCCCAGAGGAGGAGGAGGGGGGGGGGGAATGGGTCCATCTTGCTTTGTGTCTGAAGCTGTGTCCCTTCCGGGAGGGAGGGAGGGAGGGAAAAGGGGCCCCAGCTTCTTGCAGGTGGGCGGCCTCAGTGCTCGGAGTTTGATTCTTGGGCCAGGTACTTAGGATGGGTTCGGCCCACTTTCAACACAGAGGTGAGGCTGAAGGAAGAGAAACGGCTGCCCGGAATTGCTGCTCCCGCGGTGTGGGAGGGCTCCGGTGAAGTCCGAAGAGCCTGGAGAAGAGAAGAGGCAGCTCGGCAGTGTGGCAGCCCTGATGCTCCTAGGGCTGTAGGGAGCCAGGCGGCAGAGAGAAGCTGTTTGGGTGCTGCAAAACTGCTGGAAGAGCCAGGCCCATTTCATCCCCTCTGGATGGCGGTGGGCAGAAAGGGCCAACCGAACTCAAGAGAATGAGCGCCCACCCGGTTGTGGCTGCCCTTTTCCCAACCCAGCTTTGGAGAAGGCGCCTGCTGACGCACAGGAAGAAAGTGAAGACGTACCGACTTACTCCTCTATCCCAACAGAGCAGGCATCCGGGCCAAGGGCTGCCCAGGCAGGACAGGGCCAGAGGGCAGACAGAAAGGAGGGAGATGTTAGAAAAAAAGGCTCAGAATCGATGATGCCCCTTGTCGGGGCCAAACACGGGGCTCCAAGAGGGAATGGGTCCCACCTTTCCCGCCCAGCCCGCAAACACTGATCAGGCCCCATCTTGAGCCACTGCTTCTTGCCCTCTTGAGACCCACAAAACACACCCGGGCCTCCCACACTGATCTGCAAGCTGCCTGTGGGGCTCGACCTTCCTTGTGGAGGAAGGCTAGAAGGGCCAAGGGGGCAGACCCAGCTCTCCCCATTGCAGCCCCCAGGGAGTTACAGAAGCAAGGAAAGAAGAAAAGGAAGGTGCAGAGAAGCCAGGCTCTTTCCTGCCAGCTGCAAGGAAGGAGCCCAAGACCCAGGCCAGACTCCCTGAGACCTGCAGGCCCTTACCTGGCAGGTAGACATCAGCAGGCAGCTCACTCTCCTTTTTCTGGGGGGCCTCACAGGATTTGCTGCCCTCCTGGACAAGATCCTTTCTGGAGGAAGGCTGGCTACCTGGGGGGACAGCAGAGGAAGCCCACTGGGGTTGAGGCTGAAGCAGGCCTCAACCCGCTTCCTCTGGCTGCCCAGGACCTTCCCTCTGCACCCAGCAGGCGTCTGTCCTCTGTCTCATGGGACCTTTGGGGCTCAATTCCACAAGGGGGAATTATCTATCCCCCAGCAGCCCTGGCACCAAACAAGCCGCCTTCCCCAAGACATCCTGCCCCCGAATCCCCAGTGGGCTCACCTGGTGGCAGGGCAGTAACCACCTCGGCTTCTTCAGCTGCCAGGCTCTGGGGGAGAAGAGAACAGGGCAAGCTTAGCTCTGCACCTCACACTGGGTGTAAACCAGGGAGTTCTACTGCACCAATATCTCGTTTTATGTTACATGCCTGTCTCCACTTTGCCAAAGAAAACACTTCCAAGGCACAAGGGAAAAACTTCAGCAGTGCCTTCCGGCCCCTGTCAGAAGGGCCTCCCACAGCCCTTGGGTGGGGGGGTGGGGGGGAATCGTGACCTCCAAGCCCAGCAAAAACGATCATCTGTCCCTCCATTTCTGCCTGGATTTGGGCTGCAGGCTTGAAGAAGTAGGGAAGATCTGGGAATCGAGAACCCCCTCCCAAGGACAGCAAATCCTCTTGTGTGCTTGTGCCATGTGCTTGTGCTCATGGTCTCCACAGGAATCTCTCTCGGGAGCAAACCAGCCAAGTCCTGCACCAGGGAAGGCTGGGGGGCGGGGGGAGGGGGCGGCGCAGAGCTCAGCCACAAGATATGGTGCACTCTGGCGTAGCCTAAACTGCTGCTTCCAAGACACGTGTGGCTGTTCCTCAACATTCCACAAACCATGGTGCTGAGCTGACCAGAGCCTTCCAAGGAGGAAGAGGGTACGAGAGCCCTTCTAAAATGGAGAGAGGTTCACCTCAGGGGAGCTGTCTTCACCCAGGATGTGCCCTGTCCCAGCAAGAGGCAGCTCCAGGGCCAGGTCTTCCGAGAATTTTTCCTCGTCTTCTTCATGGATCGGTGAGGAGGGGGACCGGAGAGCACTGCAAATGGGGGGGGGGGGGATTGCAGTGGTCATTAGGGAAAGGCAACACCTCTCCCTCCCGAAGGGAAGCAAGAGGGACCTGTGGGAACAGCCGGGCCAGCCAGCTCTCGGCCGCTCACCTGTCCGGGGATTTGCTGTGCTTGCTCTTCTGGTGGTTGTTCTCCACACCTCCTCGGTCAAGCCCCACGAGGGGCCGGCTAGGTGGAGGGAGGCCATCCAGCACCCCGGAGTAGCTGATCTCGTCATAGAGGGGAGCCGAGGGGATGGAGGGCGAGACAGAGCGCAGGCCGTTCAGGGCTTCCAGCAGGGAAATGGGCTCGTACCCTGGGGGGATGTTGTCCGAGCACTGCAGGGAGGCAGAAGGACAGTTCCAGGTGTGAACAGGGACCAGCACCCGGCTAGTTCTGCTCTCACAACCACACAAGAAATTGCCAAAGCCTGAATTTGTAACACAAACTCCACCTTTAAGGGCAACCCTCAAAGTTGGCCAGAAACATCAAGAATAAAAACCTCAGACAGGGACTGAAACAGAGCCAAGTGGTGGTGGGGGGGAATAATCTTAGCACCCCAAACTTCCTTCCCACGGTGGAGAGCGGCTTCTGGCGTCCCTGGGGGAGCGCTTTCGACCACTTTCCCTCCTTCCAGACCAGGAACCCGGGGGAGGGGCCCTGCCAGGCTCACCGAATGCTCTTCCCGATCCAGGCTCTGGGCCAAGACGGGGCTGAAGGAGAGTGGCGACAAGGTGCCCGGCTTCTTTCTCACTGCCCGGATCTGCAACAGCGCACGGAAGGCTGTGGGAGAAGGGAGAGACATTCCTTGGCGCCCAAGGGGTCGAGCACCCAAAGCACCCACTGGGCAAGGCATTAGGGGTGGGCCAGTCTCAGGGACCCCTGCCCTTCTGGCAGCCTCCCTTCGGCCCCTCTCAAACACCCAAAGGAAGGGAGGCCCCCCCACATACGCAAACGGCAGATGGGACAGTTGTTGGCCTGGTAGCGCAAGGTGTCGGCGCAGGAGTTGCACAGACAGAGGTGCCTGCAGGGCAGGATAAGAGTGTCCCGCAGGTCTGAGAGACACACCACACACTCGTTGCTGTTGTCGCTGTTTTCATCATCGCAGGGCTATCGGATGGACATGGGGGAGGGGATGAGCTGGGAGTCTCCTCACCTTTCTACCCCCACATCTCCCAAGTGGCCGGCCTCTCTGATGGACACGGCTAACCTGAAGGCCTGCAGCAAGGACAGCAGGGACCCCGGGTGGCATCCAGCGCCTCCACTGACCAGGAGAGGCAGAGAAGCCCCTCCCAGCCCTCAGGGAAGTCCTCTGGGCAGGCGCAGAAGCTGATGGGAGAACCAACCTGGCCTTTTCCTGGCTGGGGGTGGGGAGGGGTGGGGGGGCTCCTTCCCTACCTTGGTCTCTTGGTTATTCTTGTTCTCGATGCCGTAGATCTCCTGGAGCAGGTAACTCACCCGGTCCACCTGCCGGGGGGGGGGGGCAGGGGGGCAGGACAAGCAGACATTCAAGACCTGACTGCCAGTAGACGTGTCCCTGCCCATTCCAAGTCAATTCCGAGTTTTTGTTTCCAATTAAAAACGACTCTAAAATCCCTTTCTAAATAGCTCCACAAGATTTGGGTCAAAAAGAATCCTTGAAGCCCACTTTGAACCTGGATCGAGAAGGGGCCCAAGCTCACTGCAGCAGCAAGGGGGGCTGTGGTGCAGGCCTAGACTTAGCCTCCAAACACTCTTCATCTCCCGACCCAAGAGGGGAGCTGTGGGTCCCACCCCTTTTCCCTGCTGTCAGGCCCAGCACTCTGCTCAGGCTGGGGAGCGGCATCCTGGCTGGTACTTGTGGCGGAGGGGAATGAGGGGGGCAATCTGGGCATTTCCCTGCCACCCAATAGAGCTTCCCAGTTGTGGGAAACCAGGAAGTAAGAGAGCACGGGAAAGGGCTCCACTGGGGAAACATTCAGCCCCCCAGGATTGCAGGAAAACACTTACAATCTGCTTCTGTTTCAAGGGCTTTACAGAGAAGCTGCCATCGACATGCTGGTGAGCAAGAAAGAAGGGAAACAGATTAGCCCTGCCGGAAGAGAATGTAAGTAGCCCACGTTGCTTGCAACGGAAACTCCCAGCCCAATTTCTGAGGTTGCTGCAGAGATCCCTGAATTGGCAACATTAGAAGACCTAAAGCTTGGGATGCAAATGTTTCCAGCTGCAGCAGAAAAACATAGCAGTCAAAACACCACCTGGAATATTAAGAAGCAACCCAACCTAGTTTATACCTGCAATCACTAGAATGCAGACCCAACTCTCCAGATGCGGCACTGCATTTTAAAGGTACACATCAAAGCTCTGGACAAGCCAGCCGGGGGGGGGGGGGGGAGGAATCCAGAGCCCTGCAAGAGAACCTCTTACCTTCTCAAAGGCAGCCAGGAGGATGTGGGCGTGGCCAGTCACTTCCACAACAACTAGGAGGCAATGATAAGACCTGTGAGTATCCAAACTAGGAGTCCAGCAGCTGGGCCAACTCTACGTCTCCCAGCAGGGAGGAGATAGTCAGGCAACCCTTTTGCTGGGTGAAACCTCTGTTGGAGACCACTTCGGCTCTCCCAGCCAAGACTGGAGTGTGTGTGTGTGTGTGTGTGTGTGTGGGGGCGGGGGGGGGGGAGGACGACAAGGGATTCCCTTGGGATGGAGGCACAAGTGGACAAATCCCAAGGACTGAAGGGAGCAGCTGATGCTGGGATGCAGGAGAGCAGGAGGCTGGCAGAATGGGAAGCCTCTTCTTTGCAAGCATCCCAAAGGATTGAACGGTTGGCACTCTTGCCAACGTTAGGGGAGGTCAGACCACTCAACAAGCAGCTATCCAAACCCCTTTGGCCCTCCTTTTCAACCCGCCCCCTCACAACCTGACATAGCCCTAATGACATGCCCAATTACAGGCATGAATCTGCCTCATACCATCGCCTTCGTCTACTGTGGCTTGGATGACCACTGGAAAAATGCCCCGGTCCAGATCAAAGTTCAGCTGGAAGGAAAGGCCGAGAGATTAGCCACAGACTGAGTGCACAAGAGAACATCCCTCTGAGAGGCATCCAAGTAGCTGCTGGCTCATTCCTCTCCTGCTGAGATGGCGGGCAAAATGGCTCCTTGGACAGAGCAATGGAACCCTGGCTGATGCAATTGAGGCCCGGCAGATGCTACCTTCCTGCCCTCTCAGATCCTCCTTATGGTTCCCACAGCTGAACTCATTTCCCAGAGGCGGGCAGGTCGGCTCTGGTGCCACATGAACCCAATGGCTTTGATTCCAAAGCCCCGAAGAAAGACCAAGGAAGCCAAACCTCCCCCCAGTCGCAAAGTGCCCTGACTCTCCTCTACTCGGGAAGCGGCTAGAAGACAGCAGAGTCACCTCTTCATCCTTCCAGTCGGAGAAGTCGATCTTGAAGGAGGGCAGGGAGAACTGCTGGCTCACCCCTCGCTTGTAGTGCACTGTCTCCGACTGCAGAGAAGGGTTCTTTGTGCTGTAGCTGCAGGTGAGGAACAAGGTCGGAGGTGCATCCCAGGAAGCAGCGCTTGGCTCTACCTGGGCCTACAGACACCAACCCCTCATTAATTTCACCCACTCCCCCCCCCCCCATCTCTGCAAATGAGACTTGGAGCTACTGCTTGTCAGCAGCAGCCAACTGAGCAACATTCACATTCCCAGAAGCGCCACCAAAAGAAGCCAGATTCGAGAGGCCGACTGATTGGCCAACCCGACAGTCCCTGCACTCACACAGCCATGCCACCAATGAGCTCCTCTGCTGCTTGGCAGTAGATGGTGATGGCCACCCGGGCATCTGCATCAAAGGTGAATTCAAGGCTGTACAAGGCCTTCTGCTTCCCATTCTCCTCTGTGGGGCTGTCAACATCTTCTTTGTACCTGCACCAAGGAAGGCTACATCAGCAGAGGAACAAAATCCACCCACTGCATCTCCTGGATGGGCAAAAGGTCGATTCGGCAGCTAAAGCCTCTCAATCTCCTTACATTTCCCAGCCTTTTCCAAATACTGTTGCATTAACAGCCCCACAATTACACCGTTGGCAATCTCTGCTAATGTGTTTGCGCCTCCAAAGATTTAATCTTTAATACTTGTTACTTGCTTTTTTCAAAAAGAGTTTACAATATAAATAGTAACAAGAATAGACCAAAATTGTTTTTTTGATAGCTAGGGACACCCTTCATCTTCCCTTAATTTCTCTGCCCAGGTTCTACTTGGGTCTCTTGGTCGCTTCCTTCCCAACTAACTGGTGCAACTCCCAGCTGCTGCCTGGCCATTTTACGAGAGGCCTTCAGAGACAGGAAGATCCGCTGAAGGCGGCCTCAAAGGCTGGGCAGCACAAAGAACAAGCGTTTGCAGTGCTGCAGCTCAAACCAAATCGACCCTGCTTGGCCACAAGTGAGAAAGGCCATCTCCCCGTCATTGGCAAAGCATGAAAAACATGGCAAGGGAATTCCTGGACAAAGGGAAACACAATCCACCAGTAGGCAGCCCCGGCCTTAACCGCAGGGAACAGATCACAGAACCTTCCCAGGAGCGGAAGGACTCCCAGCCGCCAGTTTGGCTTGAAGTACCTGACCAGGCGCAGGGAGTCTTTGCGGATGTTCACCAGGCTCCGAAGGGTCTTCACTGGTTCATGAGGGGCTGGGGTCACGTAAGGAAACTGGAAAGGCAAACCAGAGTCTGTGAGGCAGGGCGAAAGGTGGATGGGCAGCATGACGTGGTCTAAACAAAGGGGGTGGGAGAATTTCTCTCCTCCCCTGCAAAAGGACAACGGCTGAGGTGGTTTGGCTTCCCTGGGGCGGCATCCATGTTACAGGCATGTCCATCAGTCCAAGACTTTGAAGCCCAATTAGCATTATAGGCTGGATTCATTCCTGGCTGGACTCTCTAGGCACATGGCGTGAAGCCAACTTATTATGTTTCAACACACTATGACTTCAGTATATCATTATCTACAAAAACAGAACTGCATTCAAATTCATAATTTAGAAAAAGCGTCAATTAAAATTCAGTATTTCCCACATTCAGTGGTTTTTTTTAAAATGCAGTGCAAATCTTAAACAAGAGCTATTTTTTGAAACACGTACACAAAATATATAAATATTAATTTATCCCCCCGATGTACCCCCCCCCCCCCCCCCCCGTTCATTTGGACCCCGAATAAAAGGCGGGTTCTTAGGGGAAAAGCTCCCAGGGCGCCTGCGCTTACCTGGACGGGCCGGTTGCCCAGAAAGTTGAGGTCCATATTCTCCCCGAAGAGGTAGCCCTCGGGGTGCGGCATGTCGAACTTCTCGCCGCCCATGAAAAAGTGGCTGGCAAAGTAGTTCCCTGGCGCCCAGAGAAAGGGGGAGAGAAAGGGAGAGAGGACCTTCCACGGCCGACCTTCCCGCTTCTCCGCGGCCCACGCCCGGCTTCCCGGGCCTTCCGCACCGCCCAGAGGACCCCGACAGCAGCAGCAGCAGCAGCAGCAGCAGGGCAGGGCGGCCTCCAGCGCGACCCTCCGGCCGACCCCGGCTTCCCACCGGCGGGTGGCCCAGGCGGCCTCCGGGGCCCTCCAGCTGGGCTCTGCGAGCAGCCCCGCGCCTCTTTCCCTCCGCGGCCGCAACCCGGTGCTCGGGTAGACTGCCCCGCGCCAGGGAAGCTCTGCCCCTGTGCCCGGGAGGCCACCGGGGCCCGGAGAACCCCCCCGAAGCGGGAAAGAGGGCGGGGAGGGGGCGGCCGGAGCCAGCGCCGGGCCTCACCGGACTTGGGCGGGTAGCGGTAGGCCGAGTTGGCCTGGATGTCGATGTCCTCCACGCCAGCAATGCGGCGGCTGAGCAGGGAGCCCATGGCTGGGCAGGAGCTGGCGGCGCTCGCCCCTCTGTGTCGCCCGTCAGGCAGGCCTGCAGGCCGCTGCCGCGCGGAGCACCACGGGAAAGCGAGTCATCACTCCCCGCCCGCCCGGCAGTCCTCGGCCCGTTCGCCTATCCACGGACGACGCTTCCCAGCAGGCGCCGCACTCGGCTGGGAAAACAACAAGCGCCCGTCAGGGGAAAGGGCGGGAGCTCAGGCCGTCAATCAACCCGAGAGCTAGGAAAAATGGACTCGGGCGGAAGCCGCGCTGGCAGAGCATGATGGGAGCTGAAGTCCGCCTTCTGCAAGCTGAGCCGGAGCGGGGCTCCGAAGGGGCTACCGGACTCTATCCAGGGTCCTGAAGATCGTGGGCGCCCGGCTTCCGCGCCTTGCCTCAACTTCGCGACTGCCGGCCCGCGGCGAGAATCCCCGAGCGAAGCTGAGGCTTCTCAACGGCCATCTGCGTCAACCTCCGGCCGCAGCGCCCCCCCTTCCCCCCCGCAGGAAAGCCAAGGATGGCTAGAAATGCAGTGCAGGAGCCGGGGTGGAGCAGCATCCCTGCCCAGCTGCCCTCCAGACCTCCTCTCCCGGGGAGTGCGAGGATGGGGACCCTGCTCTGCCTGTTACACACACACACCCCCCAGCCAAGGTGCTCCTGGAAAGGGTTCAGTGGCCCCTAGTGGAAGAGGGTGAAGAACTGCTTCTTTGGATCTGTACCCTTGAGCCCCCAGCCCCCCCCCCCCCCCCCCCCCCCGGGAAAGGGAGGAGAGGCAGCTCTCTGCCTCCAAGGGCCTTTGGGTTTAGAGGGTGATAAGACTGTTGCAGGGGTACATGCCCACACTTATGGGGAAGGGAATGCAAAATCGCACAAGCCTCCAGCTGCACCTCATCTAGGTTGCATCTAGGTTTTAGGCTGCAATATTTCCTCTTGATTTCTTTCTACCAAGGCATCGGATGACCATTGCCAGTGGGCTTGGGGGCACCTTTCCCTCTCTTGCTAATCACCCACCAAAGGGAACTGTTCAAGTTGGAGGAAAAAGAACCAAGCTCCTTGCAGAACAGAGGCAGCAGTTCACAGCATGTAGAAAAAGAATCTTTATAGAATCATTTTCTCACTCGATGAATGCTTTCCTGTGCCATGGCTGAGACAGGGACAGTATCAGGAATATCTCTGGGATCCCATATGGAAAGGGAAGGAAAGGCACATGGTCAGGTTTCTGACGATGCCAAGGCCCAAACTGGAAGATCTTGGCCCCTGGAATTCGTGTGTTCACTGTCATCATAATGAATGTTTTGTTTGGGAATCCTGGTTCACTGGGGAGAGAAGCACCATTTTAGCCCATGATCTGCTGTACATCTGACGTAGGTCGGGCATGATGGTAGTTGTGGACACAGCCGCTCTCCTTTGAAAGCCATGCAAGTCTGTGGCCTCTGTTTCAGATGGACGAGAAGCAGCTTCTTCCATTACAGTGTCAGAGATCTGGCAGGGATAACCAAAATCTTCAGGGAAGGAGTCTGCTAAAAGCTATGGGTGCCCCTAGAAAGACACCATAATGGAGGCTGGCTGAAAGGCCTGGCCCTGATCACCCGGCTAAGAGGGAAGGAAGGGAAGACACCTCCACCTCTACCACCCCCTGTCCCATCTGGGAGGAACCTAGCGAGTATTTAAGAAGAGACAGGATATGAGGTGGGGCTCTTGAAGTTGAGCTCACAGGCCTGGAACGTCCCTTTCGTTCTGAACGTGGCTTTCTCTGAGGGCGGCACCCATGACTGTTCTGTCCACAGGGTCACAGCTAAGCTGCTGCAGTCGCTGGTTGCTGTTGGCTATTGCAGACCCCACTCGACGGAGGGCAGAGGCTGCAAAAGGGAGAAATTAGGCAGGATCAGGATTCTTTCCCGAGCCATTTCCCCCCATGCTACACTTGCCCTGCTCATGGCGGGAGGATCCCCCAAAACAGAACAACCTGAACCCTGGCAGAAAGGAGGCCAACTCACAGGGGTAGGGCACCGTGCTGATGTCTGCAAAGGCAGAGCGGACTCTCTCCATTCGCACCCCCGTTGGAGGCCGGGGAATCTTCAGAGCTGTGTGGGGAAGGGAAGAAGCACAACAGCCAGGCTGTGAGGAGGTTGTCAAGACTCTACAAGGCATGCAGAACGGGGAGAGGAGTCGGGGGAATGGGGAAAGCAAGCCGGAGCAGCCCACTGGCTCCTCCTGTGGCTGGGGAGGGGATTTCTAGCCACTTGGCTTCCCCCCACCAGGCCCTCTAAAGCAGTGGTCCCCAACCTTTTTTATGCCGCGGCCCGGTACCGGCATCAGCTGGGCGCCGCGGCCCAGTACCGGCATCAGCTGGGCGCCGCCATCTTGTTTTGATGAAAAAGTGCTTCCGGTGAGCTTTTCCGGGTAGAAAGCTC